TCTAGGCACACCTCTAATCTCCAGCACTTATAAAACCTATTTTTGTTGCAAGTAAAACTCTAACTAAAACGAAATAGTCAAAGAGTGGATGGTCTTATAATATTGACAATATTATTGATCAGTATGGTAAAAGGGACTCGATATTGTGCTGACCTTATTGAGGACGCGCGGCGTTGTGGTGCTTTCAAACAAGAAGCAAACAGACTTTCATTTCTCTTTTCTATATCATAAAACTTCAAAAGGCAGGCAGTTACAAGCTCACGATGAAATATGCAAATTCGTGTGTCTGATGTATGTGTGTCTGATGTAAGTGTGAAGATTTCAAATTTGCCGCAATACTGGTGCTTTTTTCTTTCCTAATCCTTACTATCGTCATTTTCCTCTATACTCTTGTGACCTGCATGCTATTTCCGGGGTGCCCTGAAAGTCGAAACAGACTGTGCTGTTGAAGCTAGAGAGGTGAGCAGAGTAAGCTCGATTCCCTGTAAAGACGTCTCTGTTGACATCCACCCCTTGGCGATCATATGACCTTATACAGTTGCGAGCGCCGTAAAACCTCTACAAAAATACTGCCTTTGGTGTACTCCAGAGTGCACTCATGAAGCTGAGCTGTGTTCATGTTATCTGCACGTGAGTAATATTGTTTCTTCTTCTTACTAACTCTGTGATTATACGATTATACCCAGAATGAATGGGGCATAAATAAGAATGATGAACTTTATCATTAAACATAATCTAGATGGATAAAGAATAAATCAGCACCAACATAAATAGATTTCAATCACTTCAATAAATAGAGCTATTTCATGAAAAATTGGGCCCTGGTATCCTATTAGAGATTTTGATTAGGCTGATGAATTCATTATTTGGATAGAGCACGACTATTAATAAATTCTAGGCTTGCAAAAATATTGAATTAATGAGAAGCTAATCTAATCTAATGCAAAATAACCCAGACTTGAGCTGACACGAGAATATTAATGTGAGAACGAAAGAAAAAAATGTGTAGGAGAAAATCCTTTGTCTCTTTGCTGGGGCTACGTGAAAATTGTGTTGAGAATCTCTGTCTGTGATCGCCCCCCACCAAGTTTGCACGCATCAGATCGAATGATAATTGTGCCATAATGTGCGATAATGTTTCACCCATTCCCACATGGATTTTTGCGCCAATTATATCCCGGGGTATTTTTTTTTTTTTGGTCCTTGTTTAAGTCGTCATTGTTCTTACATATTTATTGTTATTGTTCTTTGTGGATGTATTATTATAGGTGGGTGGTTGGTGGGTGCTTTGGTGTGGTTTGCTTCTTCCTTCCTATGAAAAATCTATCGTCCTTATATCCCCTTCTTCTTTTTTGTGCTTTTTACTCTCTTGTAACACCTCTACTCCTCTGGCCCTCATTTGACCTTATGCAGTTGCGAGCAGTTACTAAAACTATCATGAGCATTATTATAATGATAGAGTATAAAGGAGACAGACAAACAGACACAACAAAGGGATGCTGAGAACATTAGAATATGTCAGTACCCCCCCCCCCCTTCCGATTACCTGTGGGCCCAGTGCACAGGCTCATTGAACACGGTGTCTGTGAGGTAAGAATTCGATTCCCGAGTGGGGAGACTGATGTATTCTTTTCAGCCAGGATCGGCCCTCAGAGGCAGAGTCGACAGCCCGCCTCCTTATTTACCCATATGGTGTCAATGGGGGCACAAAAACACGTACATTCTTTTTTAAACCTTATAAAACGACATTACATTTTAACGCTGGAAAATTTACGACGATTTGTTCATGTCCAGTTCTCTTTGCCCCCCCCCCCTCCCCACCTTTCTGAAACCGTCTTTTCTCCGTGACTCCTTTTTTAAGAAGAAATCTGCCAACGTAGTAGAAGTCTTCCGGAAACAAGGTAAAGAAGAGAAAAGAAAACCCCTAGAGAAACCTCGTGTCGTCCTGGAGAAATGAACACTCCGCCTTCGGTGTATCTTGCGACTACCACACGTTGTCGGGGAGAAAAATGATTGTCTTAGTCAAGTCGACGTTTTGGACAGTGTCATATTAATGATAATATAAAATGACAGAAGGGGAGGGGGGTACCCGTTTGTTCAGGGGATTTTCTTGCACAGGTTGCCGTCACAGCAGGTTCCACTGTCAGTCAAATAAGTATTTTTTTTCCACAACCACAGCCCCC